AAGATTGAGGTTGTCAAAGAATTCACATTGCTTGGTTCTACAATTGACGCCAATGGAAGCAGGAGTGAGGACATTAGATGACCCATAGCACTGGGCAAGTCAGCCGCAAAGGAACTCTCTCAAGTGCTGAGGAGCAAGGATGTCTCCTTGAAGACTAAGGTGCGCCTGACACAAGCCATGATCTTTTCAATCACTTCATATGCATGTGAGAGCTGAACAATGAATAAGGAAGACCGAAGAAGAGTTGATGCTTTTGAATTGTGGTGCTGGCGAAGAATGCTGAAAGTACCATGGACTGCTAAAAGAACTAACAGATCTGCCCGGGTGGAAGTGCAGCCGAAATGCTCCTGGGAAGTAAGAAAGGCCAGACTTCATCTGGTCATGTTGTAAGAAGGGACCATTCCCTGGAGAAGGATGTCATGCTTGGTAAGGTGGAGAGTTGATGAAAGAGGGGAAGGCTTTCGATGAGATGGATTAACATGGTGGCTGCGATGATGGGCTGAAGTATAGCAAGGGTCATGGAGCTGGTGTGGGATCGGGCAGTGTTTCATTCTGCTGTGCATGGGGTCATTATGAGTTGGAAATGACTTGAAGGCACCTAACAACAACACAGTTGCTAAGAAGATACACATCAAAAACTTTAGGATACAAAAAGGTTTAAAGGCTAGAAAGTAATATACCATGCCACGAGAAACAAAAAGCCCACTACTGAGTATCAGGAAATGTAGACTTTAAAGCAAAAAGTGGTACTGGAAAGGTTTCATAATGATAAGAGTTTCAATTTACTAGGAAGATGAAGATATTCCAGATTTTATTAAGTTAATAACATAGTTTCAAATATATAAAGCCCAAAATGACAAAATAGAAAACTGTATGACCATAGTGAGATATTCTTAAACACTTTTATGGTCAGTAACTGACAAATAAAGCATTCAAAAATCATTAAGGATATAGAAGATTTGAGCAACATTATTTGTAAATGACATAATTAATATATGTAGAATTATATATAAAAACTGTAGAGTATACTTTCTTTTTAAATATTCAAGGAATATTTATAAAAACAAAACCATATTCTAGAATTGAAATCACATAAAATTTAGTCTCTGGCCACAGAAGAATTAAGCTAGAGATATAAAGAGTAGCAAACTATCTTCACACATAAACAAGGAATATTACATAATCTCCAAGGTTCACCAATGGAATACATTTTATGTAAATAAATAGTAAGATTTCTTATTAACACACTATGATGGTTTCAGATGGAACTAAGGGAAAGAAAAAGGAAATAAAAAAGAAAAATTAATGGCCCTGCCCAATACAAGTGAAGCAACATGGTGCCCAATTCAACATTTCAACAAATATTTAGAATATGCTGCATACCAGGCACTTTTCTAGGCACTGGTGATATATAAGTGAATAAAAGTAGATAAAAAATCCTGTCCTCATGAAGATTACATTCCACTGAGGAGACAAACAAAGTAGATAAACATACAGCACATCATATGGTGATAACTACTATAGAGAAAAACAAAACCATAGGCAGATATACAATGTGCTAAGGGTAACAGAGAAGCCCTGGCGGAGCAGTGCTTAAAGTGTCTGGCTGCAAACCAAAAGGTTGGCAAAAGCCACTCCATGGGATGAATATGTGACAGTCTGCTTCCGTAAAGATTTACAGCCTAGGAAATCCTAAGGGACAGTTCTAGTCTGTCCTGGAGGGTCACTATGAGTCAGAATTGACACAATAGCAGTGGGTTTTGGTTAAGAGTAAGAGCGCAATTTAAAAAGGAAATTAGTCAAGGGCCAATGGGGTATCTAGGGAAAAACAGCAACCATCTGAAGCAAAAGAAAGTGCAATGTTCTTAAAGGAAGAACATGTCTTGTATGTTTAAAGAACAGTAAGGAAACCACTGTGACTAGAACAGAATGAGCAAGGTAGAGATTAACAGCAAATGAGATCAGAGAAGAAAAATGGGATCACATGCAGGACACTTACATAACTTTGACTTTCACTTTGTGTCAGTCTGGAGAGTTCTGAGAATGAAAATGATATATGATATGACTAAATTTTAACAAGTTTGATACAGTTGCCATATTAAGAAAGCAAGTTGTGGTAATAGGAGATTTTTACTCAGGAAGTTATAGCAATAACCTAAACTAGAATAATATTTGTATGGCAAAGGGTAGTTTCAATGGATGGAAGTAAAAGGAAGAGGGTAGATTCCAGACATATTTTTAAGGACAGGGTCAATAGTTCATTGATGTATGGAATTGAGTTTTTTTTTAAAAAAAAAAGGTTTTTTGATCTGTGATTTGTCCATAACATTTGTATTGGCTTTTCTTATTTTTATTCATAGATGGATGGATGAATGGATGAACAAATGTTGTTGTTATGTGCCATCGAGTCAAACCTGACTCATAGTGACCCCTTCTTGAGTTTCCGAGGCAGTATCACTACCGAAGTAGATTGCACAACCTTTCTTCTGAGGAGTGGCTGGTGGGTTTGAACCGCCAGTCTTCTGGTTAGCAGTCAAATGCCTTAGGCACTATGCTACCAGAGCTCCTGGATAAACAAATAAATAGTGCTTATTCAATGGCAGCATAGTTAAGAGCTCATCTGCTAATATAAAGGTCAGTGATAGGAACACACCAGCTGCTCCATAGGATAAAGTTTTGGCAATCTCCTTCTGTAAAAATTACACTCTTGGGAATCCTATGGGGCAGTTCTATCCTGTAGAATCGACTCAGTGTCAATGAGTTTGGTTTGGTTTTGAGTATGTTCTAGGCAGTACGAAAGCTGCTAAATCAATTCATTTTACCTTTAGCTTACCAGGACTTTAGGAAAGCTTACTCATGGAGGAAATGGGAAATAAATAGAGTCCTCTGTAATACATAGGGTCATGCTGAGTTGGAATCAACTCTACAGCAACAACTCTACCACAACAGGCTTGGTTTCTTTGGGTTGCATTACAAAAGCATTCATTGAATATAAAACAGTTTTTAAAAATCTCTAAAACATAAAAAAAAATCTTACCTGAATATTTGAAGAATGAGAATTCACAGATCCTTGATCATACAAATAGACCATAAAATTAGCTGCTAAAAACAATCTGAATATAAAAAAGTGAAAAAATTATAAAAGTTACTTTTTTGAAACATATAAAGCACCAGTCAGCAAACTAATGCCCTCAGGCCAGGCATATCATAATCTATTTTTATAAATAAAGTTTTATTAGAACACAGCCACACTCATTTGTCACGAATTATCTATAGCTGACTTTCTGCCAAAACAGCGGTTGTTATTGTTGTTATGTGCTGTGGAGTCAACTCCAACTCATAGCAACCTTATGTACAACAGAACAAAACACTGCCCAGTCCTATGCCAACATCATAATATCTACTGTACCTGAGCGCATCGCTGCACCCACCATGTCAATCCATCTTGATGAGAGCCTTCCCCTCTTTCATTGACCCTCCACTTTACCAAGCATGACATATTCCAGAAAATGGTCTCTTCTGACAACATGACCAAAGTAGGTGAGATGAAGTCAAGCCATTCTCGCATCAAAGGAACATTCTGACTGCACTTCTTCTGGGACAGATTTGTTAGTTCTTTTAGCGGCCCATGGTACTTTCAGCATTCTTTGCCAACACCACAACTCAAAAGCATCAATTCTTCTTCATTCTCCCTTATTCATTGTCCACCTCTCACATGCATATGAGGTGATGGAAAATATGCCTTGAGTTAGGCACATCTTAGTCTTCAAGGAGATAGATGTCTTTGCTCTTCAACACTTGAAGATCTTTTGCAGCAGATTTACCCAATGCAATATGTCTTTTGATGTCTTGACTGTTGCATCCATTGGCGTTGATTGTAGAACTAAGTAATATGAAGTCTTTAACAGCTTCAATATTTTCTCCATCTATCATGATGCTGCTTATTGGTCCAGTTGTGAGGATTTTTGTTTTCTTTATATTGAGGTACAATCCACACTATAGACTGTAGTCTTTAATCTTCATCAGTATATGTTCAAGTCAACCTCATTTTCAGTAAGCAAATTTGTGTTGTCTGGGTATCACAGGTTGTTAATGATTCTTCCTCCAATTCCGATGCCATGTTCTTCTTCATATAGTCCAGCTTCACAGATTATTTGCTTAGCATACTGACCAAACAAGTATGGTGAAAGGATACAACCCTAATGATCTCCCTTTCTGATTTTCAACCATGCAGTATCCCCTTGTTCTGTTTGAACGATAGCCTGCTGGTCTATGTACAGGTTCCTCATGAAATTCCCATTCTTCTCATTGCTATCCACAAGTTGTTATGATCCATACAATCAAATGCCTTTGTATAGTCAATAAAACATAAGTAAACATCTTTCTGGTATTCTTTGCCTTAAGCCAAGATCCATCTGACATCAGCTATGATATCCCTCACTCCCCATCCTCTTCTGAATACAGCTTGCATTTCTGGAAGTTCTCTGTAAATATATTGCTGCAACTGTTTTTGAATTATCTTCAGTAAGACTTTACTTGTGTGTGATATTAATGATATTGTTTGATAATTTCCACATTCTGGGGGATCACGTTTCTTTGGAATGGGTACATATATGGATCTCTTCCAGTCAGTTGGCCAGGTAGCTGTCTTCCAAATCTCATGGCATAGCCAAGTGAGTGCCTCCAGTGCAGCATACATTTGTTGAAACATCTCAATGGGTATTCTGCCAATTCCTTCAGGGCAGCTTTGACTTCTGCCTTCAATACCATTGGTTCTTGATCATATGCCACCTCCTGAAATGATGATAATCATCTACCAATTCTTTTTGGTATAGTGACTCTGTGTACTTCTTCCTTCTTCTTTTGATATTTCCTACATCATTCAACACATTGCCAATGAAATCTTTCAAAACTGCAATTCAAGCCTTAAGTTTTTTCCTCAGTTTTTGCAGCTTGAGAGTGTGTTCTTCCCTTTTGGTTTTCTAACTCCAGGTCTTTGCACAAGTCATTATAATAATTGACTTTGTCTTCTCGAGATGCTCTTTGAAATATTCTGTTCACTTTCCATATGTTTTAGCTACTCTCCATTCAAGAGCAAGTTTCAAAGTTTCGTCTGACATCCAGTTTAGTCTTTTCTTCCTTTCCTGTCTTTTAAATGACCTTTTGCTTTCTTCATGGATGATGTTCTTCATGTCAATCTACATTTCCTCTGCTTTCAGTTACTAGTGTTCAATGCATTAAATCTATCCTTTAGATGGTCTCTAAATTCAGGAAGGATATACTCAAGGTTATATTTTGGCTCAAGTGGACTTGTTTTGTCTTCAGCTTCAACTTGAACTTGCATATAAGAAGTTGATGGTCTGTTCCACAATCAGATCCTGGCTTTGTTTTGGCTTAAGATACTGAGTTTCTCCATCGCCTCTTGCCACAGATGTTGTTAATCTGATTTCTGTGTACTCCGTCTGGCAAAGTCCACGTGTATAGCTGCATTTGTGTTGCTGAAAAAACGTATTTCCAATGAGTAAGTCATTGGTCTTGCAAAATTCTGTCATGCGATCTCCAGCATCATTTCTATCATCAAGGCCATACTTTCTAACCAGTGATTCCGTGTTTCCAGCTTTTGCATTCCAATCACCAGTGATAATCAACATATCTTGATTGCATGTTTGGTCAATTTCAGACCACACAAGTTGGTAAAATTTTCAATTTCCTCATCATTGGCTTTAGTGGTTGATGCATAAATTTGAGTAATCATAGTATTAACTGGTTTTCCTTATTGGTGTATGGACGTTATCCTATCACTGACAGCACTGTACTTCAGGATAGATCTTGATACATTCTTTGTGATGATGAATGCCATGCCCTTCTTCAATTTGTTATTCCCAGCAGAGTAGATCATACGATCATCTGATCCAAAATGGGCAAAAACAATCCATTTCAGTTCACTAATGCCTAGGATATCAATCTTTATGCGTTCCACTTCATTTTTGACAACTTTCAATTCTCCTAGATTCATGCTTCATACATTCCATGTTCCAATTATTAATGGATGTTTGCAGTTGTTTCTTCTCATCTTGAGACATGCTACATCAGCAAATGGAGGTCCCAAAAGTTTTACTCTATCCACATAATTAAGGTTGGCTCTACGGAAAAGGCAGTTCTTCTCCAGTCATATTTTGAGTGTCTTCTGACCTGAGGGGCTCACCTTCTGGCACTATATCGCACAATGTTTCAGGGCTATTCATAAAGTTTTCTAGTAATACATCAGACAGTGTTTCACCGCTATTCATAAGGTTTTCACTGGCCAATTCTTTGAGAAGTCGATGGCCTCTTCTTCTGAGTCTGTCTTAGTCTGGATGCTCCACTGAAACCTGTCCACCACGGTAACCCTGCTGGCATTTGAAACACCAGTGGCATAGACTCCAGCCTCACAGCAACACTATGATAGTAGGATAAACTGACAGACAAGTTTGTCTGCCCTAGTTGTTCCAAACTGCTCTGCTCATTTCCTGGTCTCCCCTGCCCTCCTCGCTTACCCAGCCTGCCCCCAAGGCACAAATACACACCTTCCACTGGTCCCAGGGCTGGCTTACTATGGCCTGCCCCCGGGGTGGCTCCATGCATGCAAACACCCACCTTCCACTGGTTTCAGGGCTGGCTTACTGCAGTCTACCCCTGGGATGGCTCCACACTTGCAAACTCCTGCCTTCTGCTGGTCCCAGGACTGGCTAACTACAGCCTGCTCCTGGGGAAACTCCATGCATGCAGACCAGCAGACTTGACTAATTTAGACAATTTGGCCTACAAAGCCTAAAATATTTATTATCTCTACATTCACATGAGCCATTTCCTTGAGATAAATCTCTCTCTATATATATATTTTTTTTTTCCTTTCCTTTTTTTGCTTTCTAGAGAACCCAGCCTAAGACAGTCAGCTTCATGTTTTCTGTAAAGGAAACAGAAAAAGTTGGCCAACCTTTTTACAGAAAAAGTTGGTCAACAACTGACATAAAGGCAACATTTTCTTTTGACATATGTACTCTTTATTGAAAACAATACATATTATTACACATAATTGTTCTTATCTGAACAGACTACTTGAAAGAAAATAAACAGGAGGGACTGCAAGAAAAGGGATGGAAAAAGAATTTTAAAATTTACAAAGATATGAACTGGATACAGGTTTATGAGAATTTTATGTTTTTTCATTCTTCCTAAACTTCACTACTGTGTAGATATTACCTTTATAATGAAGTGAAAGAGTATTGTATAATGGGTATATTGAAAATAAGAGTCCAAGTTCAGCCTGCTCTGCTATCACTCCCTGTATTCATTATACTACTTCAATTAGCCTTACTCATCTCTTGCTGCTTCCTAAATTGAAAATCAAACCACAGACATTAATTTGATTCCCACTCATGGTGACTCCCATGTGTTACAGAGTGAACTATGATCCACGGAGTTTCTTTTGGAAGCAGATGTCAAATCTTTCTTCCTAGGCTTCTCTAGGTGATTTCAACCTACCTATCTTTCCATAAATAGTTGAGGATTTAACCTTTGAGCCACTCAAGGACACCCATCCATGTATATCCAATATAATTTAACAAGATCACCTAGACTAGCTTCTGCTGGAAATCTTCCACTGAAGCTTCTCTCACAAAGGTTACTAATGACCCCTACTTGTCAAATCCAAAAGGCAGTTTGCATTCAAATAAAAGTACTCTGAAGCAATTGACACTGTTGATCATATTCTCCTTCTTTAAAACCATCCTCTTCAGCTTCAATGACACCACTTCCTCCTGCTGTCTGTCTCCTAGTCCTCATTATCTTACTGTCTTGTTTAGTATGTCATAAGGATCCTTTCTTTTTCTCTTAAATGTTTCCTTGACATTCAATAACAAGTTTGTTTTCCTTCTAATCTTTACATCCATCTCCACTTCTGTAGGATTGTTTTATCTGTTTCTGTGGATTCACGTATTATACATAAAAAGATAAATTTGAAACCCAGACCTCGTTCGCAAGTGATAAACTATTAATGCCAACTGGACATTTCTCCTAAGATGTCCTACAAGCATTTCATAAGAGACTTCTACAAAAGGGAGCCCAGAGGTTT